CAAAGCCCTCATCACTGACACGTGGACACCATCATCGTTATCGGCGTGACCCGCATCGGCGCTGTCATTGGCCCTGCCGTCGTCAGCATCATCATTGTCACGCGCATCGCTGCTATCATCCTCTTGTCTGCAGTTGCCGACGTGACCATGATACCGCGCCCGCCCGAGTCACCCACTCGCACTGAAGTGCCCACGCGTCAGCGCGGCTTGCGAGACGCGCTGGGAAAGTCGCTGGCGGTCAGCGCCTCCGCGGTCACGTCGGTCGCGCCAAACTAGCTGGCCGGTCTGCGCGCGAACCTGCGCGCGCGAGCGCGGCTGCAGCGGTGCGCCAGCCAGCGCCAAACAGTCCCCGCAGTCGCCGCCGCATCGGTTTCGCAAACCAAGTTGTGGGTGGGTGGGTGCGTTGGATTATTGCGCGAGCAGTGGAGTTGTCAACTTCCAATTCGGATGGTGAGTTGCACCGCGTAGTGTGCACCACATAGGCAGCACAACATCTATTGAGTCGCGTAGATTGCACCACGTCGATTAGAGAATAGACTCTACCCCTCCCGGGATTATTTGTTCCCCTTTTCGTGCCGTAATTTCCATGTGATTCTGCCCCGTCGTCCATTCTAAATATGAAGTCATACCATCCCAGCCCAACCAGTACCGCCATCTTTTGCAAAAAACTGTTATGCGCGCGCATCGTTTATCAGAAAGAGCGTGTTCTACCGCTGCTGGCGGAAAACCGGGGGGGGGTCATTACCGGTTTGAGCCCCCCCCCCTCCGGAAAACCGGGGGGGGTCACTGCCAGTTCGAACCCCTCCCCCCCCCCTAGTCCATCATGAAAAGGGGGGGGGTCACTACCCGTTCGATCCCCCCTCCCCCCCCTCGAAAACCGAGGGGGGGTCACTACTAGTTCGACCCCCCCCCCCTCCTTCGAAAACCAGGGAAGGTGCGGATAGTGGTGGGGACGGTGGTGGTGGGGACAGTGGTGAGGGGACAGCGGGACAGTGGTGGGGACAGTGGGACTGGTGGGCACGGTAGTGGTGGGGACAGTGGTGAGGACAATGGTGGGAACAGTGGGGACACTGGGACAGTGGTGGGGAGGGTGGTGGTGGGGACAGTGGTGTGGGGACAGTGGGAATGTGGTGGAAACAGTCGGACAGTGGAGGGTACACTGGTGGTGGGGACAGTGGTGAAGGCGGTGGCGAGGACGGCGGTGGGACAATGGGACAGAGGTGCAGTGGGGACAGTGGTGGGGACAGTGGGGGCAGTGGTGGGAACAGTGGGGCAGCTCAGTGGGACAGCGGAGGAGTCAGTGGGACAGTGGGGACAGTGGGGATAGTCGGGCAGTGGTTGGGGCCGTGGAGAAAGTGGGGAGAGTGGAACCGTGGTGGGAACAGTGGTGGGGACAGTGGGGACAGTGCGACAGTGGTGGGGGCACTGGTGGGGACAGTAGGGACGGTGGTGGAACCAGTGGGGACAGTGGTGGTGAGGACAGTGGTGCTGGGAACAACAGTGGGGGATGTGGTGCGGACGGTGGTAGGGACCAGGAGTCGTTTGCTGGCGGTGAGGGGGGGCGGAGGGGGGAGGGGTTCGAACCGGTAGTGACCCCCCGGTTTTTTTTGAGAGGGGGGGGTTCGAACCGGTAGTGACCCCCCCCGGTTTTCGAGGGGTAGGGGGGGGGTAGGGGAGGGGGGGGGGTTTTGCCAAGGGAGGGGGGGGGGGAGGGGGGGGTTCCAGCAGGGGGGGATTTTCGAAGGGGGGGGCGGGACCCCCGGGCTCCGGAGGAAGAGGGGGGGGAATTTTCCGCAGTAGAGCGGCGGTGGGTCACGCTCTCTCCACGAACATCATAAGTTTTTGAGAATCCCTTGCAGAAGACGGGACGAAATGCGCACGCGCGCGTCGTCGAGCGCGCGTGCAGAAATCCTCCAACAAATTTCGATTCAGAAAGATGTCGAAATCGAATTTTCAACCAACACATAAAATCATTGTGCTTCTACAAGGGTAAACCATTATTTCTTTGTATATATATATAGCAATGAAACAGATGTTACCAAACGGGATTCGCGCGCGCATGTTGAAATCGTTCGAAGGCCCTCGCGCGCGTGCCGTCGCGAGAGTCCTTGGCAACAAGCGAAGCGAAGTGCACGCGAGCGCGTCGTCGCGCTCGCATGCCGAAATCCGTCAACAACCTTCGATGTCGTAACGATTTCAAAACCGAGTGTCTAACAACCATACAAAAACATTTGGCTTCGCAATGTCTGTTTGCAACAAAACCTGCGTGTGCGCTCTTGCGAATTCTTGATAGATCATTTTTTTTTTTTTTTTTTTTTTTTTTGTTTTTTTTTCCCCCCCCACATCCAAATGGGGGTTCTTGTTTTCTCTGCACACCCCGCGCAGGAACACTCACCCCACCCCCTCTCCTCTTCTGCCTTCGCACACTCACTCACTCACTCATCATCATCACCACTCACTCACACTCACACTCACTCACACTCTCTCATCATCAACATCAGCATCATCACTCGCGCTCTCTCACACGCTCAGTCACTCACATACTCATCATCATCATCATCATCATCATCATCATCACTCGCACTCTGTCACACGCTCACTCATTCACATACTCACCTG